CTACGATCCCGAACAGGCATTTGAAATGGTTATCGAATGGATGGTCTCCACCGGTAACTCAATATCAGAGATAGTAATGGGTTGGAGTCGAAAGGCCGCCTCTACTGGCCTTCATTTGGGTTAGATTCGAGTCCAAAAATGGTCAATCATTTAATGATTACTAACTATATATATACTTAGTTCCGATACCCGCCGATCCATTTGCTCTGCCATTTTCGAGTAAATCGGATCCACTTCGAGGTCCCATTTATATCACGCTTAGTATCGATAGTTTGCCCAAAATGGCCACAAAACTACTTGAAGGTAATGTCAATGAAAGTGAATGAATTAGGCATTAGATGTAATGTTTGCAATATTTCAGGCGAAGGATTATTCAATTTTCAAGAGAGGATTTTAGTAAAGTTTGGTTTCATCCCATTCCACGACCCGACCACTGATAATCAACGACAGTTTGTTCACGTGAGCGGCAGTATATTCGTTATGATTCCCAGCAAAAACCCCGCCTCCAGTCCCTATAAAAGTGTCCGAAAACGAGGCAAACTCTTGAAGGTATGGATCATAAAGAATGGTATGTTAATCTAAAATGACACTAATTTGTGTGCAATTAAATGGTTGGCAAAGGTTGACAACAACGATACGGCCTGCAGTCCTCACGAAGAGTACATAACCCGTCACTTCAGTGGTGTAAAGCAAGCGGGAGAGTCCGCTCACATCGACGCCAAGGCATGCATACAATGCATGAATTGAAATATTATTGGTATTAATTGTTTGAATTGTAGATCGGATTCCTCTGGTGTTGGAATTACATGATAACAAAGCGGTGGAAGACAGGAGTGACAGGCGATGAGAACTCTATGCGTAAAATAATGCAAGACTTTCGGGCGTTTTGTACCAATAAAGACGAAAGATTGAGTCAATTCTGGGAAAACTATAATAATATTCGTGGAGTTGACGATAATATTTGCCAAATGAGTGAATAATTAATACAATTTTATTAATTTTTCAATTCAGTTCAATTCAATTATGGCTCACATTATTGTTAATCATATGATAAATAATTGTTATTTTAATTAAACTTAAAATGTATGGTATTTTTGTATATTTTTAAGATTAAATTTGGTGTTAATGTAAAAACAATAAAATGGAAATATATTTAAATAATTAATATAATTAATAATATACTAAAGAAAGAGATCAGTTTTGAGCCGATGTATAATATATGGAAACTATATATTAATTTACAATTAAATTAATTGCCTTTACAGACACATGAAAAGCATAAGTTTAGTTAATATCATTAATAATAATGAATGCAATGATTGTTTGTGTGATTTGTTTTCAAATACAAGTACTCGTGTTGTAACTAATTTTAAACATTTATATTAATTATATATTAATCAAAAGCTGTGTTTAATTAAAAGTAATTGAGTATTAATTTGCGGGTAAAATAAGCGTATGAAAGACAGCTCATGAAAAACATATGACTTAGAAATCATTTAGCGTTTACTCATTTCTATTCGCTCTTTGTATTTATTTATTAGTTTATTAGTTATCGTTATTATAGATAAATGCGATTCACTTAATGGAAGTCAAATCAAAGAGAAACAGGAGATAAAAATATTCAAAGAATAAAATAAAATATTTTCTCAAACAATAGCCTAACAAACAATTATCAATTGAATTGATGTAAAAGAATCGCTAAATTAAATAATAAATGGAGAGAATTGTATAAAAAGTTGCATAAAAGACAAACAAAAAATAATTAGCAGTCAATCAAAGATTTTATTACAATAAAAATAATTCTCAAAACTAAAACATTTTTAAGTTATGTATATATTATTGGTATTAAGGTTTTGGATTTCAATTCAAATTAGATTCAATCCTAGAAAATAGCTC